AAAGAAAGAACAAAAATGCATAAAAATAACTAAAGGCAGAAAAATCAATTTATTCACCATAAATTAGACATTTTTAGTTAATATTGCAATAATAATGAATTAATTTGTTTATGCCAATTGATTACAAAATATATATTTGTATAATACAATCAGAAAGAAATTTCAGCATTTTACAAAATCACGTATCAACAATGTTTGAAAATACTTTACAAAATTGTGGATTTCAGACAAACAATAATTTTCATAATCTTTACAAAATTTGTGATTTTTGCTACATGTACAATTTGTTTCATAGAAAAATTAAGAAAATATTTATTTTGCTATGATACAATAACAGATGTTAGCAGTACACATAGTTTTAAGAATTGAAATCAATTTACATTAACAAGAAGAAAACATTAATTAACAGTATAATTTGGAGAGTTAACCAATTACATATATATATATATATAGATGGAAAATAGAAAACAAGAAAATAGTATCTGATATACCTGTGGTATCAAGTTTTAAATTACCACAATCTACTAACTTTCAAAAATGTTCATATTCTTGATAATAAAAACTAATAATATTAAATATTTCCCCCTCCGTTGGACAATATTTTCTTGTAACATAGCCTGCTATATACAAAAGTGACATTTTAATAACTTTAGTGATCCTAGATTTAAGGTGTGGTAAATTATCAAATGTTTCGCATCCAGCAAATGTCCAAATTTTGATCCATTATGGCCTGGATCAAAATTGCATAACATTAACATATTCTTTTAGATTTTTTCTTAGCAATTTTTAAATTATTAAGATAAGGAATTACTTCATTGTTTTGTGACCAGTCCTGAAACATTGTTATTGAAAGAGAAAAAATGTTGTATATATATATATATGTATATATATATATACATATATATATGTTATATAAAAAAAATATGATTCCTTCGCTACATAAGAGTTCTCATGTTTCAAAAACAAGAGCCGAAACCCTCAATATAATTATTAAAATTAAATTGAATTAAGGTATCAAGCCGTGTTTAATTCCTAAATTTTCGCCTGAGGATGAAACAGGGCATGATTCAATTTAATTTTAATAATTATATTGAGGTTTTCAGCTCTCGTTTTTGAAAAATGAGAATTCTTATGTAGCGAAGGAATCATATTTTTAAAAACGGAATAAATAATTATAATCTAAGCTCTACTATATTTTATGGAGCACTGTTTTTAAAAAATAAAAACAAAAATACTAAAGAACTCCGGATTATTTACCTAACGTGTTCTTTCCTATTTTTCTACATATCGGCACACACACACACACACACACACACACATACACACATATATATATATATATATATATATATATATATATATATATATATATATATATATATATGCCTAGTATGGGAACATGACACTTTTGAACATTTTAGAAAGATTTGGGGTATTAAAATAAAAAAAATATTAACTAAACTACTATTTTGTAAAAATTACATGGTACTTCTAAAAGTGTATTAAAATTATATTCTAAGCTCTAGATGATTGGGATTTTGGAATTTAGGTTTCAGAATTTAAAATTTAAAGTTTGTATGAATGCGAGAATCTTTTAAAGACTAATTGGATTTAGAAATACCAGGACCAAAAGAATTTGGGATATATTTATATATATATATATATATATATATATATATATTGCATCTAGCATGAAACTGACTGTGGCCTCTAAGTGTTGACTTCAATGTTCACTTTTATATTTACACATGCGCTATCTCTGAACACTTTATCCCATAAATATAGCACACCTTAAGAGTATATTTGAAAAATATATATATATATATATATATATATATATATATATATATATATATATATATATATACCAGTATGGTTACATTCGAATCTAAATGTTTCAAAAATTTTAAATAAAAATTTTGGAATACCTCCACAAAAAAAACAAAAACATTAGAAGATTGGATGAAGAACTGGATTGATTTATAGAATGTAACTACTGATACAGAATCCTGTTGATTAATATTCTGATACAAATTTTCAAAAGTGAGGATTTTGTCCTTTTTTAGAAACTGTGCCAACTCATCGTTTTGCACATTTTGCATTGAAGCAGAAGATTTATCTGTTGTTCTTGGTTTTGGCCGAGAACTTGGTTATGGCAAATGATCAAATATTGATGGTGGATTTCTGGGTCGTATTTTCCTACAATAACCACTGTTTCATAATCAAATGGGAAATGCCTTTCATAAATAACAGTGTTTGGTTTGTCAGGGGCGTTGTTTCGATTTAAGCACCGTTCTCGCTCATTCTGCTCTTGGGGAAGACGAAATACACAAACCTTATTTTGTTAATCATAGTTACCACGACATCCTGTTTACAGCACTTTTTGACCATTTTTAGAAAGTTTTGGGGTACTGAAATTAAAAATGAAATTAACTAAACTATTCTTTTGTAAAAATTACATGGTACTTCTAAAAAAGTGTATGAAAATTATATTCTAAGCTATGGAGGCTCGCGACTTTGGAATTTAGGTTTCAGAATTTAAAATTTAAAGTTTGTATGTATGTAGGACTATGGAATTAACACATTAATTCCATCTACATTCTACGCGCGCGCGAGTTTTCCCCCTTCCTTTCACACTCGTGCGTGTGTGCGCGCGGTTTGCACCCTTCCTTCCTCTCACAGCTAGACGTAGCAGAAATCTGGAGGGAACTTCGCTAGCTCCTACTGAGGAAGTCAGCCTAACAGATTTTGAATTTTTCCAACTCGCGTTTCTCGGCGTCTCAAACGAACAGCGTTTGCAAGCCAGTTGCCTCCCGACTTTCGACCTAACTAGACGGGCAACTCATTTATTCCGTGCCCTTAACCCATATGCGGGCCGGAATATCTTTTTTTAACAATGTCGACCCTCACACTGTACCAAGACTTCTTCTCGTCTTGAAGCTGCCCTCAGGTCAGACCTTCTCCGTCTTCGACCAGAAGACGTTCGAGACACACGACACAGTCTTGAGCAAAACCTCGTATTCAACAAGTGGCTTATTTTTATCCCTCGTCAGTCAATCTGAAATACAGACAGGGATATCTTATTGACGAACAAACTTGCTACCCGCAGGTCAGACCTTCTAGAAATGCTAGAAAATGTGCGAGACACACGACACAGTCGTGGGCAAAACTTCGTATTCAATATTTGACTTACATTTATCCCTCGTCAGTCAATCTTAAATACAGACAGGGATATCTTACTGACGAACAGATATTCTTCGTCCCTTCTCATAGACGATGCAACCAACCGCAAATAACTCTTCGTCCTTTTGGCTAGACGTCCACAGCATTCCGTTAAAATTTTCAACAGTTAATTCAAGACCTGACCGAACTCTGAGACCCTACTTTGAACCTGAACACCTCTGTTTAACGAGTTCCTTTTTCCAGAACCTTATAAAACCCTTTTCCCGCCTTGTTCATCTTGCTATCCTATTTTGGCGCAGAACATCTTCTCTGATCTCGTACCACGAGATACCTACTTATTTTCCATTTAAAAAAATTAAACATGTTTTTACATCCAGACGCCTTTGTCATTTTTTTTTCCGGCTATCTCTTTGATGTTTATAATTTATGCACTCGTTGATTGACCCCTTCCTCCTCACTGTTCATTCACGCATTTTTCTTTTTATACATTGCTTGTGGACTCGGTAGTTTAGTGTGGTGTCTGGCACAAGGCCATTTCGTAATAAACCAGCACTGCACGCTGCCGGGTCTGCAACAGGACTCTTTTAGATACCAAAATGGATTTAGAAATACAGGGACGAAAGAATTTTGGATTCAGAAATGGGAATTTTAGAGTTTGGAAAATTAATTTTTGGATAATTGTATTTGACGGGGCAGGGAGCGTATCGCTCGTCTCCTCCTCCGTGAAATACGATTACCTAAACAAAATTAAATAGTTTCATATTTTTACAGTATTTTTTTTTTTTTTTTATAATCTATATAAAACTATTAAAATTAGTTAATATAAATTTTTATACATAAAAACAACAATGGTATAAAAATTTTAATATAAAATTTTTTTAAATACCTGTAAAAAAAAAAATTAAGTTTTAAATCAATATATTCGTTGTTATGAAGAATAATATCATAAACAAAATATTAATTTTTTTTTCTTCAAATGGGCAAAATTTCTGTATAGAAAATATGAAAATTTGCAGTGTAAAAAGTTACAATCATTTTTTTTTTGTCTTTTTACAAGAGATATCAACATACTTCACGTGTTATAAATGAAACACAAATTATTCATTTAAAAAATGAATTTTATAATCAAAATATTCATTATTACGAATAATAAAGAAAAAAATCAACTTTTTGTGACAGAATTCTTAATAATGTGATTTTTTTGTGAATTTCGCTGTTTAAAATAAACGCAAAAGGTAAAATGAGAAAGACGATATTGACATGACAATGTCGTCTCTTTTACATCTTTATGGTATATTTTTAAGAATGGTTGTAAAATATTAAATTTATTATTGAATTAAAGTTTTGACATTAACTTCATATGATAGATTTTTATTATGTGAAATTTTTTCATTAATTTTCCAGTGAAAAAAAATTATTAGTTTTTATTTTTTTAATGTCTTCCATTTATTTACGAAGGACAGAAAAGTTCAACATACTTTTAAAAAAAGATACCTGTCAAAGAAAAACATAAATTATTCATAACAAATTATTTTTTTTAGTCAATATGATCATTGTTGAAGAAAAA